CTCTCCCTCTCCCTCTACCCCTTCCCCCTCTCTCTTTCTCTCCCTCCCTCCTCCCTACCCTCCCTCCCTACCTCCCCCCTCTCTCCTTCTCTCTCCCTCCCTCTCTCTCTCTCTCTCTCTCTCTTCCGTCTTCACTTCTCCTTCATTTATCACCCCCCCTCTTCCTTCCTTCCTTCCTTTTTCCCCCTGAGATCATGCACCGAAGAGGAATTAGAAAGTCATGAAGCCCCAGGTTGCCATGCGCACTCCCCCCTCCCCCCCTCCCCCTCCCCCTCCCCCCTCCCCCTCCCTCCCCCTGCTGTTCCCTGCCCTTCGCCTTCGGTTTTCCTTGTCATTCTCCTTCTCCCTTTCCTTCGGGACTCCTTGGTCTCTCCTTTCTCTCTCTCTTCTTCTTCGTCTTCTTTTTTTTTCTTTTAGGTTTTCTTGGGCTCTCCTTTCTCTCTCTCTCCCTTTCGTCTTCTTCTTCTCCTTCTCCCTTTCCTTCGTCTTCTTGGTTTCTCTTTTCTCTCCTTCGTCTTCTTCTTCTTCTCCCTTTCCTTTAGGTCTTCTTTCCCTCTCCTCTCTCTCTCCTTCGTCTTCTTTTCCTTTTCCTTTTCCTTCAGGTCTTCGTGGCCTCTCCTTCTCTCTCTCCTTCGCCTTCTTCTTCTTCTCCTTTTCCTTCAGGTCTACTTGGCCTCTCTTTCTTCTTCTTCGCTTTCTTCATTTCCATATTCTCCTCCCTCTTCTTCGGTTCCCTTGGCCTCCCTTCTTCTTCGCTTTCTCGGTCTTCACTCCTTCCTCCTTCTCCTACGGCCTCCCCCTTTCTTCTCTCTTTTTCCTAATTTTAATTCTTTCTTCTACACCTTCTTATCCTCTTCTCTTACTTTTCATCTTGCTCCTTCCCTATTCTTCTTCTTTTTTTCCTTTTTCATCCTTCTCCTTCTTCTTCTTCTTCTTTCCTTTTCATCCTTCTCCTACTTCTTCTTCTTCTCCCTTTTCTTCTTCATCTTCGTCTCTTCCTCCTCCTCTCCCTCCTCTTCTTCCTCCCCATCCCCCCCTCCTCCTTCTTCTCCTCTTCCTCCCCTCCTCCTCTTATTCCTCTTCTCCTCCTCCTCCTCCTCTCGTCTCCTCTCCTTCTCTTCCTCCTCTCCTCCTCCTCCTCCTCCTCCTCCTCCTTCCTTCCTTTCTTCTTCTTCTCCTCTCCTCTCCCTCCTTTTTTTCTTCCACACTCCTGGCAACACGCACCTAGTGATAAGATCTAGAAACATACCATATGATGAATACATTTGACCTTTCGTGCCATCCCTTGGTATTTATAACTTGGGAGACAAAAGTTTAAATGTACAGCTCTTGTGTTTTTCTTGTTTTTTTTTCATTTTTTTGTGTGTGTGTCAGGAGGGTTGTTGTGTGGTGTTGTTTGTTTGTTTTTGTATTTTTTGTTTTTGTATTTGTATGTCTGTGTTTGTTTCTGTTTGGGTCTCGTGTCTGTCTATATCTGTCTGGCTGTCTCTGTCTCTCTCTCTCTCTCTCTTCTCTCTCTCTCTCTCTCTCTCTCTCTCTCTCTCTCTCTCTCTCTCTCTCTCTCTCTCTCTCTCTCTCTCTCTCTCTCTCTCTTTCTCTCTCTTTTTCCTCTCTCCCTTTCCCCCTCCTCCCTCTCCCTCTCTCTTTCTCTGCCTACCTCTACCAATCTATCTAGGCCTATCTAACCATCTTTTCATTTTCTCTCACCTCCTATCTCTTTAAGTACCTCTCTATCCATCAATCAGCGCGTCTTATCTCCTCTCTCCTCTTTCTCTCGCCCTCTCCTCTCTCCTCTTTCTCTCACCTGTACGAGCTGTCGTGGGCGGTTGTAATGTGGCCATGGTCAGAACCGCATGTATTCACACTGCGGTTGGCCTTGACAGTCACTGCGGAGTCTGTCAAGTGTCATTTCTCTCTCTGGGCGGCTGTTAACGGACTCGACTTTTCATTAGTGCCATGCTTGAGAATGTTGTTGATTGTGGTTGTGGATCGGATGAGGAAGGGGGTATAGGGGGTTGGGAGGGTGGGGGGTGGGTGGAGTTGTGGGGTGTTGTCGGGATGGAAAGATGATTTTTGTATTGTAAGTTGTGTTTTCTTCGTGTTTGGTCGAGAAGTTTAGTGGTAGATAAGGAAAGTATGTGGTTTTGTTGGGGACAATATCAAGGTTGTATGGTTTTCGATTTATTTATTTCCCGATGTGTTTACAGTAGATTCACTGGGCTAGTTACAAGCATAAGTGTTTTATTTTGTTAATTTCCAGAACTAAGCTGACGTGTATAGTCTTGTATTTCAGTGGGAAAATGCCATTTCTTTCCAGTTTCCTTTTCAATCAAGTCGTTTTATTTGCGTACGACGTGTCCATTACATTGCACAAACGTAATGTATTGTAATTTGGAAACATCTGCCCATTCATGATTCTCCGGCCGCCTCGCTGTCTGGCGGCCGCTGGCAACCCCCGGTGATCTCTACGCTGCCGGTGTCGTTTCATCTCAGTGTCGAGGTGGCCGTCGTAGGGAGAGTGTGTGTCGAGACGGGTTCCACGTTTATTCTGTGTTTGTGTTGGAAATTGTTTTGTTTTTGTTTTGCGATTTGAAAGAATATATAGTGGTGATGAAGAAAACATGAAAAGAGAATTCAAGAGATGTACACGTTTGGAAAGAGATCGATGGATGCGGTTGTGTACTTAGTGAATCCAATATATATTAGTAACGTTTTTTTTCTTTTATAATTGCTTGTGAGACGGGAAGGACTGCTAATTGAATAGAAACTTCGTAATTTCTTTAAGGCGTTGTCTTCCTTTGCAGCCGAATATTCGATGTGTCAGTCACGTGAGGGGAAAAGAAATGAATTTTGTGAATTATGTTATAAATTAGATTTATTTATTAAAAACGCCTCTTAAATATTATGTCAGCTCCATGTCCTTCAAGAATCAAGATACGATTTTTATTGACGTATATATTTTTTTTATAAAGTGTTTTTACTTCTTTCTAAATCTAAAAGAATGATAATCTTCAAAGGAGTGTTTTTTTCAATTTACTAATGAAAAGAAGGGTATTTTATTCATTTTCCAAAGAGGAACGTTTCGGTTTTGAAAGGAAGACAACTGGTCAGTAACGAGAGGGTCGCTTGCCGTGCAGAAGGTATTGCACATCTTGCTATTACTGCTATTTTCCCCCTCGGCGCCCAAGAAAGAAGTTCCCCGTCGGCGTCCTTGGGGGAACAAAAGCTAGTAACGAAGGGGAACGCCCCCCCCCCATCACTCCCCCTCCATTCCCCTACCCTCACCCCCTGTCACTCCCTCCCTCCCCTGCTGAGGTCTGCTTCCCCCCTCCCTCCCTCCCTCCCCCTCCCTTCCCCCTCCTCCCTCCCTCCCACCTCCCCTCCCCCCTCCCTCTCCTCTCCCTCCCTCTCCCCGTCTCCACCCCTCCCCTCCCCTCCCTTCGCCCCGTTCCATTCCATCACCTTGTTATGGTCGCTAAATTGTATACCTTTATTTTGACCAGTGCGTCTTCAATTAACCAGGGGGGAGGGAGGGAAGGGGGGAAGGTTGTGCAATATGTTTCTGATTGTGTGAATTCGTGCGTAGGTTTGATGTTACGGTGTTATAGTTCATGGTGTGTTCATACGATGGGCCTTCTCCGTGCAGGGAATAATCGCCACAGGTCGCCGCCGCCTTGTTTGGGAAAGTGAACAGTCCCTCTTGTTATGTGACTCGCGTGCTGTTCATCGGGTGTTCATCGTGGACATCTCGGAGGAAAAGAAAAGGGGGAAAATAATCTTCTATAACACTAGTGGATGAAGTAGACTAGTGGAAAAGTGTGGCCGAGAAGTGTTGGTTTTTCAAGGCAGGATGACCACGTCTGTGGGTGCGTCCTCGCCGTGAGCACTCTTTCACGCCCACACGCCCGTAATGTTCCCCGCCACGCCCATCAACTGCTCGCCACCTCCCTAAAGTGCTTGCAAGATGGACGCTGCAAGCAACTTCTGACAGGCGGCGCATAAGGATGATTTTGCAGCCACTAAGCCCACAGCCATGACACTTACGTTCCTTGAGACCCCTGCCAGCAGATTCGAACGTAAGGAAACAGTATTTTCGTTTATATTTTATTTTATTTGAGTGTTTGCCTTCTCCAAGCACAAGGAGGAGGCTGGTGTTATCTCATACTTGTCATGATTATAGGACTCCTATTCAGTTATACTTTCACACCGTGCCAAGAAGCCTGTTTGAATTACGTCATGTGTGTATAACCCCCTTTTATCACTTGCCAGAAACCTGTTATCTCCCAGGTGATAGGGCGCCGGTGGGAAAGGTTGCTCGTGCGGGCGCCTGCAAACCGAGAATTGCTTTTTTTTTTCGTTTTATTTAATGGTGAAGATGAATCTCGATCATTTTATGCGATGGCAGCCTTGGGAATTAAGTGTAGTGCCGTGAGCGAGCGGGAATTAGCATGTGTTTTGTTGAGTTAATTTCCCTCGGGTTTGATGTGATTTTTAAAAGATTAATGATAGTGATTGAGCGACGGTGAAGCAAGATGTGTGGGATTATGTTGAGTTTGAAAAGTGAGAGGGACATTCGTCGATGTCGTGGGCTTATTAAAATCCTGTCGTAAGTTTCTATTATCTTTGAATAATTACGATTTGACTTTCCCTTTCGAATAAAAAAAGAAAAATCAGTTGTGCAGATTAAAATCCCAAGGATCTGTCGCCAATTTGCATAAATTAAAAGTGCGATAAGACCTCTCTCTCTCTCTCTCTCTCTGCTGAAGGTGCCCCAGGAGGGTCGGGAGCCTCTCACAAGTGCCACAACTTGACCCCCAACGCCCTAGAAATCGTGCTGGTCTGTTTACCCGGAAGCTCCTCCCTTCCCCACCCCTCCACGCCACCATAATTTCTCCGATTAAATATCAGTTCAGTTCCCAATTTATCTCGCGTGCAGTTTTAGCCTACATGCCACGGTCTCTGTGCCAAAGAAAATGGTGGGTGGTGTTGGGAACATGAGGTGAAGGGAGGGGAGGAGGAGGAGGATGGAGGGAGGGGAAGGAGGGAGGAGGGTGGGGTGGAAGTGGAGGGAGGGAGGGAGGGGAGGGAGGAGGAGGGGGAGGAGGAAGGAGGGAGGAGGATGGGAGTGGAAGTGGAGGGAGGGGAGGAGGGGCAGGAGGGTAGGGGGAGGGGATGGGAGGAAGGTAATGCCGGGGTAGGAACGTTGTGATAACTGTGAGTCTCTCTCTTTCTCTTCTCTTCTCTCTTTCATTCTTGCGCTCTCTCTCTCTCTTCTCTCTTTCTTTCTCGGGTCACTGCACAGGATATGCATTTATGAGACTTGCCTTTGTATCAGAACGTTACAAGAAAGGAAACACGAAAGATTATTTTGGGGAAATTCTGGCGTCCGTTGCAGCTGTGGACAAAGCGCGCGAGACGAGAGCAAGAGCGACTTCCGAAAAGGTCAAGGTAGTGTCCCCGCACCCCCCCTCTACCCTCTACCCCTGCACCCTGATACCCTCCCTGAACCCAACCCTCCCTGTACCCTGGACCCCCCCACCCCCCCCGCACCCACCCCCCTCCGATACCCTTCCTCCCGGATACCCCTCTCGGAACCACCCCTCCCCTCCATACCTTCTATACCCACCCCCCGGGACACCCTCCCCATCCCTCCCATACACTTCCTACACCCTGATGGCCCTCCAGGATCCCCTCCTACCCTTCCTGGACCCTGATTACCCCCGGACACCCCCTCCTCCATACCACTTCCTGGCCCTGATACCCCCCGATCCCCCCCCTCTCCATACCCTGACCCTGATACCCCTCCCGGACACCCCCCACCCCTCCGGCCCTCCCTGTACCCTGTGCCTCCCAGGTACCCCTGTGCTTCTACCCTGATGTTCCCTCTATACCTTCCCCTCCCACCTCCTACACCCCTTCCATACTCCTCAACCCACCCGATGTCCCTCCACACCTTCCTCTCCTTAACCCCACTCCCACGGCCTTCCTCACCTTCCCCTCCCCACCACTCCCACACTCCTCGACAGTTTCCCCTTCCACACATATCCACACACCATACCAACCCCTCCCCTCATCCCCTTTACAACACTCTCCTCTACTTCCCCTCACTCCCTCCTCTACAACACCTCCTCCCCCACCATTCCCCCCCCCCTCTACAACATTCCTCCTCCCCCTCTACAACACTCCCCCTCCCCTCACTCCCTCCTCAACAATACCTCCCCCCCATTCCCTTCCCCCCTCTACAAAACTTCCCTCTCACCTCCCCCCCCCTACAACCTCTCCTCCTTCCACGCTTTCCCTCACACCTCCACCTCCAGAGATCCTGTGTGGATGTGGAAAGTCCGTGTCGCTTTTGGAATTCTTCAGAGATAACAAATCTAAGGTTTTTACGCCTCTGGTCAGCTGGATCAACAACGTTATCAACAATATTATCAGTGTTATCAACAGCAGCAGCAACAGCAAGAACACCAACGCCACCATCATCGTCATCGTCATCGTCATTATTGTCACATCATCATCAATCATCAATCATCATCATCATATCATTCATCATCATCAGTATCAACACCACACCACCACCACCACCACCACCACAACAACACCAACAACAACAAACAACAACAACAACAACAACAATCAACAACAACACACCACCACCACTCACCAACAACAACAACATCATCATCACATCAACATCATCAACACCATTAGAGCCGACCGTCATTTCCCCAAATGTCAAGGCGGCCATGCTGTCACCGCCACATGCCACGCGTTTGAAGTCACGATTTTACCAAGTCGAAGTCAGTTTCTCCCACCCGAACACTTTAAAGAAATCGTTAATTAATAGAACGTATCGAAGAAAATCCGCGTTCGATTCGGGTGAAATTGGCGACACCTGCGAGTCATCTGTTATTTCTCGCCTTTTTTTGAGAATTAATAGATCATTTTGGGTGAATTGATGGTCGCTAAAACGGGTGGTTAGCGAGGCCGGTCGTTCGGTTCGTTAAGTTTCGAACACGTGTTTCGGTTTGGTTCGAGAAGGTTCGAAGCGGAGGGAAAATTCCTGCTATTTTTATTTTTTTGCTATTATTATTATTAAAAAAAAACTTATTGTTATTGCTGTTATTATTGTTAGTATTATTATTATCATCATCGTCATCATCATTATTATTATTGTTTATATTTCTTATAAAGCCTATCTTTCCAAGACTTGTGTTTATCTACTTAACATTTTATGAAATGGAACAAGAAACAAGGAAACATAAACAACAAAATTCTTTAAATTGTATTTAGTCCTACACATTACAGACTAGTAATAGTAAGTAAGAGAAGAAATAGTGAGTAATAGAGTAGATTTTACGCGAGACTTTATATCTGAAATCTAAGTGAAGGTCTTTGCAAGATCACTATCTTTTAGCGTTTTTTTTTTTTAACCTGTTATTGTCTCTTAGAGGACGAAGTATTTTATGCGTCTTGCGTCACTGTTTCTACGTGATCGAA